GTCTCTTGGAGACCTTCTGTCAGGGGGAGGGCATTCGCCAGACGTTCACGCTTCCGGCGTCTCCTCAGATGAATGGGGTTGCTGAGCGCCGCATTGGCTTGGTCATGGAGGTCGCTCGTACCTCCTTGGTACGTGCGGCTGCCCCCCATTTTCTGTGGCCGTTTGCGGTCCGCTACGCCGCGCATCAGCTCAACCTCTGGCCCCGTGTCTCCGTTCCGGAGACCTCGCCGACGCTGCGTTGGACGGGAGAGGTTGGCGATGCGTCTGTGTTCCGGGTCTGGGGATCTCGTGCCTTTGTCCGCGATACGTCCGCGGACAAGCTCTCCGCCCGCGCTGTTCCCTGTGTCTTCCTTGGCTTTGTCCCTGACGCGCCTGGCTGCCAGTTTTACCACCCCACCTCGCGCCGTGTCTTCGCCTCTCAGGACGTCACGTTTGACGAGTCGGTCCCCTTCTACCGTCTCTTCCCCTACCACACTGCCCCGCTCCCCCCCCCCGCCGCTCTTCCTCACGGCAGGTGCTGCTTTGGTAGGCCCCCTGCCTCCCCAAGGTCCTGCTCCCTCAGGTGTTTCCCAGGTAGACCCGGTCGAGCCTGTCGAGGTAGCTGTCGACTCTGGTCCTGCGCGAGGTACTGAGCGTGCTGAGCCTGGTGGTGCAGGGTCTGGGGGTGCTGAGACTGGGGGTGCTGAGCCTGGGGGTGCGGAGACTGGGGGTGCTGAGCCTGGGGGTGCGGAGACTGCTGGTGCTGAGCCTGGGGGTACTGAGCTTGGAGGTCCTGAGCTTGGGGGTGCTGCGCCTGGGGGCGCTCTCTCTTCCCAGCAGCTGCGTGAGTGGTACTCTCGGTACTGTCGCCGCCGCCGTGGTGCTGTGAGAGCTGGAGGTGCTGACACTCCTCCAGGTGCTAGAGCCGACGGTGCGGCTGGAGCTGGTGCAGCTGGGGGTACTGGAGTTGGCGCTGCTGGAGCTGCTGGTGGTGCTGCAGGAGTTGGAGCTGCTGCTGGAGGTTCTGGTGCTGTCTCTGCTGGTTCTGGGGGCACTGCTCGGCCGCGGCCGTACTTCGTTCCCCTCCTTCAGCACGTTCTTAGTCAGCCGCCTCCTCCTTGTCCTGCTCCCTCCTTAGAGTGTCCTCTGCCTGTCCAGTCGCAGTCACAGTTACCGCCTGCCTCGCCACTCCCTGGTCCTTCTCCCTACACTGGTCCGACAGGAGGTCTTACAGAGCGTCGTGAGCCTGAGTCTCGTCCTGTGTCGCCTGCGTCTCGTTCTGTGTCACCTGTTCGTGCTGCTCGCACTGGTCGTCGTGTCCCGCGTCAGCGTCCTCCTGCTATCCCAGGCACTCACCAGATGACGCTTCGTCCTTCCACTGCTACACAGTGTGTCCCTCTGCCTTCTCATCCTGCGTCCTCCCTTCCTGCCCTTGCTGACCCGGAGTCTGACACTCTTCGTGCTGCTAGTCCTACTGTCACGCGTCTCCTGGCCACTGCTGTCACTGACCCTTCCTTTGAGTCAGCTGCTGCGTCTGCCTTAGTTGCTGAGCTTGTCGACTTTGCTGCTCACTGTCGTCTAGACTACGCTGCCAGTCTTGTTGCTGAGTCTGAGTCTGTCTGTCCTCCGTCCGTCGGGGGTGAGTGTGCTCTTGGCACGGACGTCCTTGAGGACAGGCAGGAGGAGTTTGAGTGCTTTGCTGCTGCTGTACCTCATCTTGTGGCCATGCTGCTTGCCCCTGAGGGAGACCCGGATGCTCCAGACATCCCGACCCCGCGCTCTTACGCTGAGGCGATCGCGGGTGAGTACTCCTCTCAGTGGCAGTCAGCCATGGACGCAGAGATGGCATCCTGGAAGTCCACTGGCACTTAGGTCGACGAGGTTCCCCCTCCTGGGGCGAACATCGTCAGTGGCATGTGGATTTTCAGGGTGAAGCGGCCGCCAGGTTCTCCACCTGTCTTCAAGGCTCGGTACGTTGCTAGAGGCTTCAGTCAGCGAGAGGGAGTAGACTTCTTCCAGACCTTCTCCCCCACCCCGAAGATGACCACTCTTCGGGTGCTGCTGCACGTTGCCGCTCAGCGTGACTACGAGCTTCACTCTCTTGACTTCAGCACAGCTTTCTTGCAAGGCAGCCTGCACGAGGAGATCTGGCTGCGCCGCCCCCCTGGCTTCACTGGGTCGTTCCCTCCTGGTACCCAGTGGAGCCTCCGGCGGCCGGTCTACAGTCTCCGCCAGGCGCCACGTGAGTGGCACGACACACTGAGGACTACACTTGCGGCTCTTGGGTTCGCGCCTTCTACTGCTGAACCGTCGCTGTTTCTACGCACCGACACTTCGCTGCCGCCATTCTACATCCTCGTGTACGTCGACGACTTGGTCTTTGCCACTGCTGACACTGAGGCTCTCGCCCACGTGAAGTTGGAGCTGCAGAAGAGACACACGTGCACAGACCTGGGTGAACTGCGCGGCTACCTTGGCTTGCAGATCACTCGGGACAGAGCACACCGCACCATCACCCTGACTCAGTCACACATGGTGCAGCAGGTCCTTCAGCGCTTCAGCTTCACCTGGTCCTCGGCACAGGCCACTCCTCTGGCTACAGGTCACTCGCTCTCAGCTCCACCTTCGGACGAGTCCGTAGAGCCGAGTGTTAGAGACTAAGGACGGAGTCTATGAAGATTAGGTGCCTAAATTTCTCAAAATCGTTGGTCCCTATTTCTGGACAGAATAGTTGCGCTCACAAGAAACGCCGTCGACGAAAGGTTCACAGTCAAAACTTCACGAAACTCATATATGTTGTAGCCCTACTCCGTGGCTACAATTCCCAAGTTGAAACGTATCAAGAGGTGAAGTAAATCTCGACTTATCAATTTCGGCGCACAGGGGGGTATGCTGCCATAAGAACTTAACTCAATCACAAAGTTCACACAAGTACACACAAGAGAATTAGAGTAGCACTAAACCAGGTGGAAGGGATAAGGAGGACGAGAGGGAAGGTCCCAAGAGAGTCCCCAACCAAGGAAACCCCATGCCATACAATTCCCTTCCCCATAGGCAACCCAACTTTGACCTTTGTCACTATCCCAACCTCCACAATCCACCTCAACCCAACTTGGCCACACTTGCCAACCTGGTTTGGTTTCTCCCAACCATTTGGCAGCAACTACAGTAGAAAAGACGAATTTCCCAACCCCCAAAAGTCTGTACCCCATATTGAGTCAACCCCACAACTTCCCATAGTCACCACAACCAAATATCAAAAGCATACGAACTCCAACGTTCGTAACTTTCTAGTTCGTGCTCCGATTGAAGCGATACTTGGTTCCTCGGAAAGCTCTTGAGCAGAGGAGTCACTTCAGATATCTGCTCAAGCCAAATAACATTCACACACACACTCAGAAAAACCAAACCGCACAAAACACAAATTCTTGCACACACTCACAACACGCATGCAACGCACGAACATATGATGGGAGGCAGACAGACGTGAATGCGAATGGTAGCATCACTCAACACCGAGTGGTCCTTACCGCTGCCTCATGTACCTGATGACTTGCACTCGTCCTGACCTCGCGTACCCTCTTGGTCTTCTAGCTCGCTACGTGGCTCCTGGTCGGCACCGACCTGAGCACATGGCTGCTGCTAAGAGGGTACTGCGCTACTTGTGCAGTACATCAGGCATGGGGCTAGTGGTTGGAGGGAAGAGCCCGGTTGTTCTCACTGGTCACTCGGACGCCTCTTAGGTTGACGACCAGGCTAAGCAGCGGTCGTCACAGGGTTATACCTTCAGCCTTGGCTCTGGCTCAGTTTCTTGGCGTTCTACACGCTCGTCTTCAGTTCTCAGCTCCAGTTGTGAGGCTGAGATCTACGCCACAGCCATGGCTGCACAGGAGTTACGCTGGCTCACCTACCTGCTGACCGACTTGGGAGAGCGGCCTCGTTCCCCTCCAGTGCTGTACGTCGACAACAAGGCTACCATTGCCTTGTGTGAGGAGCACAGACTGGAGCACAGAACGAAGCACATCGCTCTGCGTTACTTCCTAGCTCAAGAGTTGCAGCAGCGTGGTCAACTTCGTCTGCGTTACGTGGCCACTAGGGCCAACACTGCTGATATATTCACCAAGGCACTTCAGTCTGGTGATCATCAGCGTTTCTGCACTATGCTAGGGCTTGTGCCCACTTTTCCTCACTTGCTGTAGGCTTTGCTTGTACTGTGATCTATATATATATACCTGCATGTTTGCACTGCTAGGTAGAGATCACTGTGCTGTTTGTGTTGCATATATGCCTCTGCATGTGAATTGGCCTTGTGGCCCTTTGCTTGTGCTCAGTGTGTGTGGTGACTTTGTGATCCACCCTGAGCTAGCTTTGCCTTTCTTGACTGGTCTTGTGACCCCTTTGCTCTCCCCCACTTTGCCTATGGGGGTGTGTCAAACATCATATATGTTACAGTTCTGTAGGCTATAGTGGGTTTAGCCTTAGGGGGTACACAATTCTAGGTTTTCCTACTTGTACTCTCATTCTTTCTAGTCCAACCACTCTTCTCATTCTAACACACACATTCGACATCAAACTCATCATCCACACACTATTATAAGCATGAAATATATACCATTCTATGCACACACGCATGCACGCACACGGACAACAAGGAGAGTGCAAATCATAGGGTTGCACCAACATAATCCAGGTCCACATACCCCGGCGTGCCTGCGATCTGCATGGTACCCCCGTCCCCGTCCCCCTCAGTGAGCTATTTGAGCAGCCCAAAATCATTGAGCTTCGCAGCCAGCGAATCAGTGACGAGGATGTTGGTGGGCTTCACATCGCTGAGCACGATGGGTGTGTTGAAGTTGCGCTTGTATGCCAGGCCCTCTCCTTCTCCTAGACGTATTTTGAGGTGCTAGTGGAAGGTGAGGGGGCTTGCAGGAGGGTGTTTTACAGGGCGTGGGCGTGGAGTGAGAGAGGAGTGAGTGGGGAATGAGGAAGAGAATGGGGGGGGGGAATAATGGACCGTCTCCCTATATGAGTTGCTTTGCGGCCAGCGAGTGGGTGACGAGGATGTTGGCGAGCTTCACATCGCGGTGCACAATGGGCGTGCTGAAGCTGTGCAGGTATGCCAGGCTCTCCGCTGCCCCCAGGGCGATTCTCAAGGGCTGGTGGAAGGTCAAGGGGCCTGAAGGTGGGATGTTGTCGGGGTGGTATGGCGAGGATGAGGGGTAAAAGGGACCGCTCCTTTGCACTGGCTTCCCATCGTGGTGCATGATTGGTGTGCTAAAGCTCTGTTCGTGGGGCTTGCGATCCCCATTCACCCACATTCGCATGCCAGAATTTGATACATTGATTTGCATTACGGGACGTTCAGCACTCACACTTGGCGTGGTGGATGTGATGCTTCAGATTGCCGTTGCCCACGTATTCACAAACCAGCACCTGCTCCTATATGCATCCCTCCCCACACAGGCTATGTTGCAATACAACACACCCAGGGCACTAGTAAGTTCAGCACTCACACTTGGCGTGGTGGATGTGGTGCTTGAGGTCCCCATTGCCCACATACTCGTACACCAGCACCTGCTCATGCCGCCCACTCTCCACCCACACGCTAAGTATGCAGGACTGAGATACCACCACGCCTGCACCACATGGCTCAGCACTCTGCTCACCCCCCAACCAGCAACTCACCTGGCGTGGTGGATGTGGTGCTTGAGATCCCCATTGCGCACATATTTCATACACCAACACCTGCTCCTTCCCAGCACTCTCCATGCACCGGCAGTGTTCCAATACACACAACCTGAGAAATACGTTAGAAGCGTACACTTGGCGTGGTGGATGTGGTGCTTGAGGTCACCATTGCCCACATACTCGTACACCAACACCTGTTCCTGCCACCCGCTCTCCACCTGCATGTCCACACAGAACCCCAGCAATTGCACCAGGTTCTCATGCGTCAGCGTTGCCATTGCTCGCACTTGTGTATGGACAGCAGGGGAGAGCATGGATAGGGAGCAGGAGGGAGACCATGGATAAGCATGTTCTTTTCTTTGTGTTGTTTTCCCCCTTCCGGTACCATTGTGCTCTCCACCTGCATGTCCACACAGAACCGAGCAGCCACACCAGGTTCTCATGCCGTAGCATTGCCATAGTGTGCTCCTGTGTATGGATAGCAGGGGACCAGAAGAGCACACAAGGCTAACTATCTGAATGCAATTCCTGCTCATAGGAGGAGCACACGGCTGCACCCCTGCTTTCCCTTCTCATGTTTTCAGTTCACTTATCTGACCTGTTTGTGCTACCTCCCCACACACCTCCTCTAAATGCTTGTCATCAAGCAACATTGCTTCACGGCCCACTTTTCCCTGTGGACGACACAAGCTCACATAATTACAATCTCTTCATATTCGATGTACGCACCTCCTTCTCAGAGTCGTTGGTCATCACGCGGCATCGCTTCACAGCCACATCTCCCCTTGGGGGGACACCCCCAGATACACCGTTGCAAAGCCCCCTCTAACATGCCTCTCCTTCCTCCCTATCCAACCATAGTCGCACCTCCTTCTCAAAGTCATTCGTCATCACATGGCATCGCTTCACAGCCCATATCTCCCCTTGCGGTGACACCCCCAGCTACACCGTTGCAAAGCTGCCCCTCTTCAACCAGTTAACCTCGGCCCGATTATCAGTGGCTTGCACTAGCTGCTGCAAGGAGAACTCATGAAACACGTCTAAGTCGCCCCACTTGCCTGGTGGAACATGGGTGAAATTGCGGTGGTGGGTGGGGAATAGAGTTCGTTTATTATTATTGCTGAGAGTTACTTCACAGTACAATTAAAACCAGAAACCTGAATTATAAAAACCGATCATTGCTTGGTTTGGTAGGTCAGGGGTTCAGGCAATATGAGGTGCGGAAGAATTGCAAAAGGTCGCAGGTTAGCGAAAAATGATGCGACTCTCCCGTGAGTCAACGAGATGATATCGGACGTCGCAACCCAGTAGTTTGCAGTCAAGAGACGGAGTAGAGCAGAAAATAACATCGCTGACAGAATCAGCTAAAAACTCAGACACTATAGAATCCAAGCATCGCTCACACCAGCCAAGCATATCAAGTGAACACAATTTATGGACGATCGTATGGTCGGTGCGGCGCGCATACTCAATCGAAGGGAAATGCAGGTGCTGACTGCGAGTGTGAAGCACGGAGAAAACTGACAGAGCGGGAGAAATTAGTGCTCACGTTTACCAGTTGGATACCTGGTAACCACCCTAGTTCGGGAGGGAAAGTGTTAACACCTCAAAACACTTTTTGTAACTCAGGCTCCGGGTTTTAATCACGAGCAGGCAAGCAAAGAGTGTGTTGGAATCACTCTCGAGACAATTCTCGCAGGTTTTGTTAGAGGCATTTGAGAGTGACTCGCGTTTAGCGTTTGGGGAGGAGAAACCACACAAGGGTAGCAGTGAGAAGAGCAAACCCGAAAAAGCAGCCCAGTGGAATGCCAACCACTGTTGCTGGTGATAGGCCTGGTGGACGGGAAAACAGGAGAAGAGGAAGAGGGCAGCGCAAAAAGAGGGGAGGAGGAGAGGAGAATTGCTTCTGAGGCGTCTCAAGCGAAGCGACCCAAAGAGATGTCTGCGACTGCTACTGGTGATTGGCCTGGTGAGGGGGAAAATTAGGAAGAGGGTAGGAAGAGGGGGGGGAGAGGAGAGGGGAGGAGGAAAGGAGGATTGCTCGCGTTTTAACAGTTTTACGAATCGTTCCGTCGGGTTCTCGATGATCCCTTGCTCCAGCTTGTCCAGGATCTCCCTCTGCACCATACAGTAGAGGGTTTCCGCTTCTCCCACAAGCGTAACCACCATCTTCCGGAAGAACTCCTGAGGGTCAAATCCATCACGTTCCCAGCAATATTACGCCGTCTCTAGCTGCATGACGTTATTCTTCAGGGTCGGTGTTGGAAGTGTGGGGGACGGGATTGCCCCCCACGCGAAGACCTCCCTTAACTCGGACCAAGGGAGGGTTTGTTCTTGGAAGGTTGGGGTGACGGCGAATTGTCCGCGTTGCCACGCAACCGAACTTCCCCTGGTTGGGTCCGAAATGTTGTGAGGGCAACACTTGGCAGTCCCACAAGCACAAACGAAATTAGCGATAGTGTGGGCGAATGTTTTTAAACATCTCGCTACACTCGCTACAATTTCGTGTAACACACGATTTCGGCATGAAGAAACAAACTCGGCAAAGTCCGAAATTGTGAATGCTGACGTCGCGGAAATTGGACGCAATCCTAAGTCCGGATTTCTAGCGAGTCGCGCACGGTTTGATGTTATAATTGTGCTTGCATGTTTTAGCTATAAAACTAGAGAGCTATTCCAGAAATTTCATCTTCAATTCGTAGCTTGTACCCAGCCATATATAAACAAGTATTGCTCTCTCATCTCTTGGGCGATTTCTGTGATCTCAAGTGCTACGACATCTTTCCTCCGAGCTCGTCGGATTGATCATATTCTCAGCTCCTAACTCGCCAAGTTCATTCCGTGGCGTCATTAGGAGTGAGACGGTTTCTTTCAGTCGGCCGCATCCCCGGTATCCCGGTGTACCGGTCCGCTACCTCCACCTTCGGCTACGATGCGGAATTCCAACGCCAGGTGTGATGTGGGCCTCCTTTTTCCTCTTGTATTCCCATCGCGGTCTGGGCTGCCACCAATTCATGGTTCCCACGTGGGCTGGGTTGAAACGTTGCTGGCAGGGAAGTAGCAGCCTTAGTAGGCTAGGAAAACGAGGATGGAGTGCTCTCTGGAGTTCTCTGGAAATTGCACTATGACTTCACAAATTTCACAGTACAATTTTATAGAGCACATTCAAATATCGAGTCGCACTCCCAAGTCGCGACTCTCTCTGAATTTCTCAATGGTAACCCAACCCCTTTGAAATGAAACTGCCGTGAAATTCAGAGAATTATTGCGGTACGGGATTGGACGGCGAGCTTGGTTACGGGGCTGTAATTTCGTCGGTGTTGTTGGCGAAGTCGGCGAGCGGTCGGAACTTCGGTGTTCTGCGTCTCGTAATTTTCGCGCGAGGGTTTGTGTTGGGCTGCGCGTCAGGACCTGGTCGCCCAGCTGCAGGTTGAGGCGTTTGACCAATACGAACAGTTGGTGAGGTGGCGCTTGACTTCCGCCCACCTGCACTGTACTTGGCAGCATTCGGCTGCCACACTGTTACATTACTTCCCCCTCCAAGTGGCGCCGTCCACGACGCCAAACCGTGGCTGGTCAAATACCGATTTACAGCAGTTGCGGCACGGTCAAGGTGGCTCTCTGGTTCCCATGAGTCGTCACTAGTGGGCTGGTCCTTCCAATGAACAAGAAACTCGCGACCATGAGGTGTGTCGCGATATGCAGCGATAGATGCAACCTCAAACAGGCCGGGGCTGCCTTCGAACATCGGTGGCAGTTGGCGTGTGGCTGGACGGTCGTGTGAAGGTGCACGGAAAGGGCGGAGGCGCTGGACATGGAAGACGGGGTGAAACTTCATATAGCTGGGCAGTTGGAGACGGTAGGTGACTGGTGAGAGGACTCGGGTGATGGTGAACGGGCCAATAAAGCGAGGGGCGAGTTTTCTGGTTGTGCCTTTGCGTAGGAGAGGTAGGTGGTCAGTGGAGAGTAACACTTGATCGCCAACCTTGAAGCGTATATATTTGCGGTGGGAGTTGGCATAGTGGGTCTGTTTGGCTTGAGCTTTAAGGATGGAGGTGCGAGCGGCATCAATGGCTGATTCGAGTGAGGTGAGGAACTCAAAGGCTGCTGGTGCGTGGGAGAGGTGGGGGGGTGGGGTCATGGGGAGGCGGGGGTGCTGTCCGGTTGCGAGGTAGAAGGGTGGCTGGCCGGTGGAAAGGTGGGGTGTGCTGTTGTATGCGAGTTCGATGGCGGTGAGGTGGAGATCCCAATCAGTTTGGCGAGCAGTAACTTGTGCACGGAGGGAGTCTTCAAGCGTGCGGTTCATCCGTTCGGTTTGTCCGTCCGTTTCAGGGTGATACGCGGTAGAAAACTTCAGCCGGGTTCCGTGAAGCTTGAAGAGGCTCTGCCAAAAGTCACTCAAGAAGCGGGGGTCACGGTCTGAAATGATGGCGGATGGGAGACCATGTAGGCGGACTATGTGATCGAAGAAGAGTCGGGCTGTTTCGGGTGCGGTGACGGTTGTGTGGGTAGGAATGAAGTGGCTCATTTTGGAGAGTCGGTCGACGACGACTAGGATAGCGTTGTAGCTGCGGGGTGTGCGGGGCAGATCCATGATGAAGTCCATGGTGACTTCATCCCACACTTTGGTAGGTGGAGGGATGGGCTGAAGGAGTCCGTAGCGGTTGGTGGTGCGTGCTTTGAGTTGTTGGCAGGTGCGGCAGGTGCGTATGAAGTCACGCACATCAGCATGCATGCGTGGCCAATGGTAGTCGTTGGAGAGGCGTGCGTAGGTCTTCTCAACACCAAAGTGGCTGCCGGTAACGGTGTCGTGGTATTCGGAGAGTAGCAGCTGTCGTAAGGAGCGATCTGCAGGGACACAAATGGTCTTGGTGACGGTGTTGTACCAAAATGGGTCTTCAAATGAGTAGGCCGGGTCCTCGGGTGCTTGCTTGACAAAAAACATGTCACGTTTGTAGGCGCGCTGAAATTTCGTGATGAAGGTATCATCCCAAGTGATGCTGCTGATTCCATGGAGTTGCAAGGGTGGGTTCGGAGTGTGAGGTGGAGGTGATGAGGTGGGGCTGGTTGGGGAGTGGTGGGGCTGGTTGGTGGTTGGTTTGGGCTGGTCGGTGGGTGGTGGGGCTGGTGGTGGTGGTCGGGACAAGATGTCGGCTGGGTTGAGTTTTCCGGGGCGGTAGATAATCTGAAGTGAGGGTACGAACTGCTCCAAAAACTCAGCCCATCGGGCTTGGCGGCGGCTGAGCACGGGCTGTGTTTTCAAGTGTTGAAGAGGGCG